AGAGCCTTTGTTGCACAATAGAACACATACACTGTTACCCACTTCCAGAATAACTCTGTTTTACCTTACAAACACACTGCTGAATTTTGCATCAGTGGCCGGCCGGCCAATGATGAGGCCTGCCGGCCACTAGTTATAGCCGGCCAGCCACCAAATGTGGCCTATCGGCCATGGAAAATGGCTTGCCGGCCACTGCTGCCTAGTTAACCTTGCTGCAACAGAGAACAAACAGAGCATGCACAGGGTATTTTCAAGGTTTGTTTGCACAACTCACTCCTTTTTTTCATGAATAAATCAAATGAGTAGCAAGTTTGGTTCACAAACCATCAATGGGTGCCATTTCATTGCATGATGGCTTATGAAACCAAGTGTGCAAGTTCAATAAATGTAACAAAACATGACACAAAAACCACATCCCAATCATGAAAGATCAAGGGAAGTAGTGACAACTTGAACCATTTCATCACTAATAAGTATGAGATGTCTCAAGCTTCCATGTGTTCAATTAACGTTCGATTGAACACAAAATCAATTATTATCTTCCACCATTTTAGCCTCAATTTTAATTACTCCATTTTAAATTACCAACCATTCTTTAATCAATTGAGTCCAAAGGGTGAGTTTAAGTCCTCTAATGGAAAGAGGGCTCAAACCAAGAGTTGTTTTAAGCATGAAAAAGACATCATACCATTGGTAATAAACCCCCTAAGGGATTAAACCATTAAGCATCATGCTTTAAACAAACAAGTAGTTTGAACCACTTTCAAAGCAAAACAAAAAGCCAAGAAAAGAAGGAGGTTGCGGAGATTATTAGTGCTGAAAATGAGCGAGAAAAGCGTAAATAAATGCTATCAACTCAAAGGAGATGGTGTCTAAGGCCTAGAACACCAAACTCATGAGGACAATTACACTATAAGCATGCAAAACAAAGTTCAAATGCAACCATCAACCAAAAATAGTGCTAAAACAGGTCTAATATAGTCCTAAAACATGCTAGAAGTGAGCTAAAAATAGCTAGATTAATATGCTAAAACATAGCACAAGCTAGGCTAGTAAGCAAAACACAAGGAGGGGAGGCTAACCCTTCCAAATTTGGACTTCAAAACATGATTTTGGCCACTGAAATAACTCTAAAAAATAGTGTTTAAAAGCTCAGAAAAAGATGATGCAATGGTGGGAAACACAAGGGCAAATGTCTCCAAAACAAGGTACAAAGAAGGGTAGATCACCCCTCAACCTTTAATGGCCTTAAAACCTAAGCTTTAGCCCAAAAACAGAGAGTTTTTATAGCCCAAAAGCAGTTGGAAAACAACAAGAATAATAGTAGAGAAAGCAAGCAAATAGGCAAAGCCTTATACCTCTTGAAAAGAAGAAGCAATTCAAGCAACAAAACCAAGACAACACACCTTTCAAGAGCTCAAACCAAGCTCAAAAGTGCCTCAGCTCAAAGATGAGAAGGTTTGGTTAAGGGTGTATAGGCAAATGTTAAGGATTTACAGGCAAAAGTGTAGGAATTTGCTAGAGAGAGAGGAAATTTTTTTATCTAAAATGTTTCCAACCTTAAAACATGAGAGGAAGGTCTCTTATATATAGAAAACATGAATTCTCCTCAAGAATATCCAGCCCTACACGTGGGTGAAGATGCATGCATCTGTGCAAACAACTGGCACAACTGTCACAAAATATCTGCAAAAGAAACTGGTGGCCGGCCGGCCATCACTAGTGGCCGGCAACCCAATAAGGTGGCCAGCAGGCCACCAGAAGCTAAAAGCTTGAAAAACCAAGGCTTGGTCCAAGAATAAGGCAACAAGAGTGTAGGGTTTGAAAGGCTCAAACCTGTGGCATCCAGCCGAGGACTTCGAGCACTTGACGAGCATATAAACTCATCATCGGGTGTGCAAGTGATGGCATCCAAGTTGTAAAGGCCATTAAAAATGGGGTGTCTACAAGGACAAAGATGAAATTTTTCATGGAGAACAATTTAGATGTTTGATTAACTTGTTTAGAGTCATTTTAAGTCTTATTATACACACACACACACACACATAAAGAGAGAGAGAGAGAGAGTTAGATTGCTGTTGGACTGATTTGTTGATGTTTATTAAGTTTTGGGTTTTCAAACTCATCACTGAAACAAAACCTTTAGTATATTTATGGCCATACATACTGGATTGGTGTATGTTCTATGAGTTGGAACAATCTGCAGAAACTGAGGTATGTCTTCTTCCTTATGTCTATTATGAAATTATTCCTAATTTGTCTATGTGGGGCTCTATTCTTGATCCTCACAACTGTTTAATTGTGTGTCCACCATGTGCCCAATCATATGCCAAAGTGAAACACATACACACACACACAGTGCTTCATCTCTTTTTTTGTTTTGGGAACAGTAGATGCTTTTACGACTTTGGAATTTCTCAAAAATACTTATTTATAAAAATAAAATACAAATAAAAATCATAGGATGAGTGTTGGTCACCATCTTACCTTGTTGGTGGTAAACATTCATGTACTAGATAATGGTACCATGTTTAGTTCTCATGCATTTACAATTGGATTTCATTAGTCTTCAATTTGCCATCTGCATAATTCTACATTCTAAAACTGTAAAACCATTACAATTGGTCATCAATGGGGATAAGATTATACCATTAAACCTTATAAATATAATATATATATATATATTTGATAGGACGAGACCAGGGATATTTTTTTATATACCATTAAGATTATATACCATGATATATATGTTATGTTGAGGGTATTGTGAAATTTTGTAACTCTTCCTTTTCCTTTAAATATAATATCAACTTATAGAACTCCAGGGATCAGTGCAGCAACTTAATTAAAAATAAGAAGAAGCATAACTTTAATAGAATCAAGTTGATATTGATATTATATTATAGAATTAGGGTTCTAACTTTACTAGGGTTCTAATGTCGTAGTATTTTGCAGTTTGATTTGGACTAATCCTAAGTGAAAGGGTCAAGAAATATGTCATAAAAACATCGAACTCTTTGGTCCATGCAAGATTTGAATTATAAATCTTTACATCACAAAACAAGCATAATCATTTGATAGCCCTTCACCAAGTCCGTTAATAACCAACCTGAGGACAACAACACCAAAATAGCAGACAGGAAAGCTTCTCGTAGCCCAAGAAACAAACCAAGACAGAGTGGAAGCCGCTTTGGCAGCCATCTGAGCTCATAGATGAATCCACATAAGCCAACATATTAGACCAGTAGCAAACAAAAGAAAAAACAGTTGATATGTGCAAGGTTGACTCCTAATATCAACTTATAGAACTCCAGGGATCAGTGCAGCAACTTAAATAAAAATAAGAAGAGGCCTAACTTTACTAGAATCAAGTTGATATTGATATTATATTATAGAATCAGGGTTCTAACTTTACTAGAGAGCTGAGATTAGACTAATGTAAGATAGAGAGGGTTAAGAAGAAGCCTGGGATGGGAAAAGCCGGATTGAAACTAAGAGCAGACTGGGTTCTTCTTCTGTTGACATGAATTATTTGGATATGTCTGCTGAAAATGAAATTCCAGATATGACAGATTCAATGATGTTAAATGCTAAAAAATAGCCTTGCTCAAATAGTTTTAACTCTTCACCATTGCATGGAATGGCCAGACAATTCAGAATTTTGTGAAAAATAATCCATGTTTTTGGATGTGGATAATTCACAAGGATCAAAGATGCAAAAATAGTTAATGTACTCCAATATTGTTGTGGCAAGTTAGAACATTATGATCTTGTTGATGGAAGTTTTGGGACGATAAATACCACGGCAACTTGTTAAATGATAATAATCTCAATTCAGAATTATTAGAAATAAGATTATGTCATTTGCATTATTTTTTAGTTCTGTGACTCCGTTGTATCTATAGAAAACTATGATTGATGAATTGTCATGTAAGACTGTTGTGGAAAAAGGGGTAAGTTCACGATTAAGGTTGTCAACCAAACGGTGTTACTTTCAATTGAATTATATGACTACAAAAACTGCCTGATGAGGCGTTATGTGAAGAGAAGGTGTCAATCTTTGCAATTTCTTTGTTAGTCAACTTTGGCTTCGATTGCACTCATCAAATGAACATTAAGGTCAAGTTTGGCATCTTTAAAAAAATTTAAAAAGTCAAAAAGTCACTATCTTATTTAAGTCATATCATCTTATTTAAGTCACATCACCTCTCTATCCCATCACTTCAAACCTAACCCATATTTTATAAAAAGTCAAAAAGTACACTTATTTAGGACATCCCAAACAACCCCTAAATGTCATAGTATTTTGCAGTCTGATTGCACTAGTACTCCAAACCAACCCCAGATAGTATTTGCTAGGAGACTAAGGCAGAGGCTTCATGGAGGTAATGAGCATGAAAACAATAGACAAATGAGGGTGCACGTTATTATCTTGTGTTCTAAAACTATTTTCAGAAGAAATAGAGAGAAACTGTCCATGTAACCGCATCTTGTTGACTAACTGCAAATCATTGAGAAACATAGGGTGGTTATGTCAATGCATTATGCACGATATTTTCCAAGTACCCTTTCTTTATTAGCTTGGTTAGTCCGTTAATTTAATGCAATATGTGAATGAATATTTCTTAGCAAACAAATCCTTGATCCAAGTACACTAAACATTTTCTTGTATTTTATCAACCATTAATTATATTTTTATCTTTGTCTATACACAGCCGACAAGCATAGTTCTTCTTGGTGTGGATATGTTTCATTTATTTGGAAAATTAAGAAAAATAGAGTAATTTAGTTTTGACAAATTACGTGGGGTCCAACTAATAAAATATAAAAAAGAGTTATGTTATTGATTGTTACACTTGCATCTTGTATAAAGGGGTGTCTGAATTAAAGAACTAGTTGTTTGCTGAGTCCTTCATTGACTGCCACACCAAGTTTGAAGTTGTAATTTGTAAATTAGTACTTGATTAGAACCCACTAAAAAGCAATGTATACATAAAATTAAAAAAAAAAAGTGGTGATATAATCACCGTATTTATTATTCAAAGTCTGTGTGACAAACAATACTCTTACCCTCTCCCTACATCTGCGATTACTTATTATTCATATAAAATTACAAACTGATTTTTTTTTAAATTAATTTTTACAGACAAATTTGACAGAAAAATGAAAGTATAACAATGATATATATTACAGAGAATAATGAAATCCTAAGTGGAGTGAGAGGAGCGGTGAACTAAAAGCCAATGATCTACTTCCACATAACCATCGCGATGGACATGAGAGAGACAGCTATCCAATGGAGTGTTCCTGGCAGAAATGAGGAACCTACACCCACAACAAAACAAAGAATGATGAGAGACAAATACAATTAACTAATTAATAGATCAATCCATGAATATTCAAATATTGATGATGAGAGACAAACACAAGTAATAGATCGATGGATGAATATTCAAACATGGATGATGAGATACAAAATTCAAGTAACAGATCGATGGATGAATAATTAAACATACCCCCTTATTTGATTATCAAACATGTCCTTAAAGATTTAAAGTAGTATGTTGAAATGAGATTCCTATTTCTTGCCTTTCAAGTATTATAAAAAAAAGATAAATTAAAAAATAAACAAAAATCTTGGCATGAAATAATTGGTCCATGTAAATCTCATGTTAGATATCTTCTATATGAAAGTAGACATTTTAATTCCCATATAATACAAGGGTGATGTTATTTTAATTCTAAAAATTAGACTAACTTTTTAAACTCAATTATGTGACAGTCTATTAAAATATTTAAAACAATTATCTCTTATAATCAATTATCTTATTTACACATTATTGAATTTAGAAAGTAAATTTAAAAAATAGATTTATGTATCATTTTTCATATTTAAAATGTGAATTTTGTGAATTTCATCAACTATAAAGAGACACCTAACAGCTTACTAAAATATATTTTAATATTAGATATATGAATGACTTTCTTAGTCCAGCCTAAGGATTCAAAAACCTGGGGCTATCAAGTATGCCATAAACGCGTTTCATAGATGCAATCCATATCTTTATTTTATAATTAACAATTTGTGAAAAATTCACATTGATAAATTCATATGAAAAAAAAAATATATATATATATATATATATATTATTATAATGTTCACTTATAGATAGTTGATTTTAAATTGATGATGTATTAGGTAACCTTGTCAAATAAAATGAAAATTTCTATTTAATCTATATAATAGAATGGATCAAAATCCATTAAACCATTTACTTTATCATAGTTGAATCCATGACTTTTTTTTTTGGACTAAGCCCTTAACGCTATATTTAATTGGAAGATTTGAAAAGAGATTTAGAAAAAGAAAAGGAAAATGAAAAGGAAAAAATGTGTATAAAATTAGATGAAATGTAAGTATATATATTTTCACTTATATTTTTTTTTCATTCTAAATTCGTTTTCAAAATCTCCTAACCAAATACAGTGTAAGAGTCATGTAGCCAATTGGTTGCGGACCAAAAAACAAAAACAAAAAAAACTGGAAAGAAGGCCTTCGGAAGTTAGGAGTGATCTGAACGGTCATCTCACCGTGATTGCTACTGCTTGAAGACGTAGACGTTGAGTTTGAAACCTTAATTCCAAGCTTTGCACAGTCAGAACCAAGGGCACCTAAATCAAAAAACAAGATACAAAAACAAATATTAGGAGCCACTTTCACCATAAAAAAGAACAGAAGGTCGGTGGTGGTTAGTTAAATTTTGCATATGTAGAAATATAATCCAGCTATTCTATTTGGGCAAAAATCAATCACCGAATTAGACACAATCCTTTCTCATGGGTGTATCAGTTCATTAATCGACTTTTGTATTCGTAGACATTTTCAATTATATCGACATGTATGTACATGTAGAATCAAAATAGAAGAGAGTTTTGAGGGAATGGATTAATCCTTACAGTCACTGTAGCAGGGGAAGGCAGTGATGTTGAGAAGATTAGAGTAACCAGGGTTGCATTGGCAAGTATGCGTCATTGTTCTGTTCTTCGTGCATGTTCCTCCGCCACAATAGATCCAATAACAAGCTACAAAACCCATGATCATATTATTAATATTAATTAAGGTAACCAGATTATATCCAGAAATAAAAGAAAAATTAAATGATATTGATGGTAAGAGTAGAGAGGGTATAGTGTGAGTAAGGATGATTACGATCAAATAAAGATGAATTTAATGGAATAACGGATGGAGCTGGAGGAGCTGCTGGCATGCACGAGTAGTCAAGAGAACCTGCAACCACCAACCAAAATCAAACCATTATTAATTCCATCACTAAACTGCACAAATAATATTTGTATGTATATAAACACACCAACTACTGTTTGATTAAAATTAATTTATAAGATGAATTTATAATATGTTTTGGCAGATTGCTGAAAAGTTGTGTTGTTGTTATTGTTGTTGTGACTGTTATGCATTTTCTACTATTTTTATATTTTGTTTAAGCCAAGTCAATAGTAATATTATGTTTGAGCTTTGATTTTGTAAAAGATTTACAGAGACGAAAAAGGAAATAGAAATTGACAAAAAAAAATTCAATTTCTGCTTAATTTTTTTTCCCTTCATTCACTATTTTTATTTTTATTTTTCTGTCAAAATTCGAATACAACCTAAAGTAACTTGATAGTTGAGAGTTGAAAACTTTTTAGATAGCTATTGTATTTGTTTATAAGAGAATTATGAGAGAGAAAGAAAAGAGAAGTAGGAAAAACGAAGAAAGAGAAGAGAAGAGAGGGTAAATTACAATTAGGAATAACGCAGGGAAGATACAGAAGATCCTGTTCACTGTCAAGACGCGTACGCTTCCAACCATTTTCACATTCGCATGTGAAGCCGAATGGTCTGTCAAGTGCTACACTGCAATTTCCTTTTCCACATTCCACTTCTTTGCATAAATTGTCTGTGTACACATATGCATTCACATTCATGACAGAGAGACTATATTATTATTTTGAAAAATGTTAAGTACTTAAATATTTTATTAAATGCTCTACTAAATGTATGGATCCACACTGTATGTAAGTCCCACTCCTATGTTAGATATTGATAAAATATTTAGAGTCGCTAGCGTTATTCTATTATTTTTTTATATGTGAAAGTCAATTGTTAGTTATTAGATTAGCGAGAGAGATTACTTACCAGAAACTATGCCATCAGATGCTTTAGCACTCATAGGAAGCATAACCGCAGCAAGGATAATAGCTACAAAAGCCATGAAACTATGGGAAGCCGCCATCTGTTTCAACTTTCAGAGAGAGAAACAAAGAAAGAAACAGAGTGAAGCTGAGATACGGTGGTGTTGTATTCAGTGGGGGATTGTTAATTTATATGGACTTGTGCATTGAAATTTTCTTAATAGAAGCTTCCACACATATTTATATATTTATATATAACCTTGTGAAGAGGGGTGACTTGGGATGAAAAATCAGTATAATAATGTTGTCATAATGAATTAAATGTATGGTTTGAAATTAAAGCTTTCAATTCCTTGTATTGGTAGGTTAGTGTGAAAATGTCAAAAGAGATAGAGATTTTTATAAGCAGTTTAATGTTGACAAAAACAACCGACTTAACCTCCCCGAGCATTCACTCTCTATTTTCGTAATGATTTCTTGGATATCAAATCAAATGAAATTGCGTAAAAGTAAAAGTCGACAGCGCGGTCCTTGAGTAGTCGAAGCTTCCTTGCGTGAAACGTCAGAGCGATTTATAATGGAGTCGTCAAGTGTTAGGGAAGAAATTAATCATATTTTATTTTGAGTTTGCCTATGCCCTTCTATTTTATTTCTTCACCTTCAATTATATTTTTAATATAATATTACACATGGGATTTCACATCATTTTATTTCACATGAAAATATTACACATTATTTTATTCAACTTTTTCTAACCACAAAATATATAACACTATTACAAAATGCGTAACCTTATGTCAAAAGTAATTTCATTTTTCAACCACAAATTATCATAACTTCTATCAAAAAAATATGTAACATTTACCATAAAAATACGTAACACATGCTATAAAAACATGTAACAATGTACATATGATACACACCTCATGGGATTTCCTCACTCAGTTGTAACATTTGTGATATTTCATTATGACTTATTGTGATATTAGTTATTATGACTTGATTATGATTTAATTTCACATATTGTGATGTCAGTTATGACTTATTGTGATGTTAGCTATGAGATTTTTTTAGTTATAATTCTGAGAGGGTAATTTTTGGAAAAATTGGGCCGAACTTCGGGTTTGGTTTTGAGGCCCAAAACGCAGTGGACTAGGTAAAAAGGCCATACAGAATACTCCGGCCCAGAAGGGCAAAATTACTCCGGCCTTGGGAAGACAAAGCTACTTCGGCCCAAGAAGACGAAATTACTCCGGCTCAAGAAGAGACCGTTACTTCAGCCCGAGGAAGAGTAAAATTACTCCGGTCTGGAGGCAATTCACAGTTACGCCGGTCTCAGAGTTAGTCCAGTCGCAGTATGTTCTAAGAAGGCCGGTGTCGGAATTAGTCCGGTCGTGACTTATATTGGTTAGGTCGGTCCGAACGATGAAAAATCAGTATAATAATGTTGTCATAATGAATTAAATGTATGGTTTGAAATTAAAGCTTTCAATTCCTTGTATTGGTAGGTTAGTTTGAAAATGTCAAAAGAGATAAGAGATTTTTATATGCAGTTTAATGTTGACAAAAACAACCGACTTAACCTCCCCGAGTATTCACTCTCTATTTTCGTAATGATTTCTTGGATATCAAATTAAATGAAATTGCGTAAAAGTAAAAGTCGACAGCGCGGTCCTTGAGTAGTCGAAGCTTCCTCGCGTGACACGTCAGGGCTATTTATAAAGGAGCCGTCAAGTGTTAGAGAAGAAATTAATCATATTTTATTTTGAGTTTTGCTATGACCTTCTATTTTATTTCTTCACCTTCAATTATATTTTTAATAAGGTGACAAGTAATTTTAAAATGAGAGTGAAGAATTTGAAGAAAATTAATTGAGCTTCAAATTCTTCTTTATTGATGTAATTTATCATACTCTGTATGTGTTTATCATCAATAAAGTCTTTTAATTTATCATACTCTGTATGTGTTTATCATCAATAAAGTCTTTTTTTTTACCGATAAAAAAATATATATATATATATATGCAACTAGGAGTGATAGAATAAGAGAGGGGGCATTTCTCTTTTATTTTATTTTATTTTGTGAGTATTAAAAATTGTTAAATAAAAAAGGGTAAATTACAACTTCTCTTAAAATTTGGTGAAAATACAATAAAGTCAATAATTTTGATATAATTATATTGAGTTTTCTTATAATTTTCATTTGTATAACACTTAGGCCCCTTTTTATTAATAATTTGTTATTTGTATGGATGAAAATACTATGCTACACACCATTTCAAATGGTGTGTACCATCTGAACCTATTATGCATTTTTGTGGTAAATATTATGCATTTTTTAGTAGGAATTATGACAATTTGTAATTCAGAAATAAAGTTACGCATTTTGTGATAGTGTTACACATTTTTGTGAAAATATTACACATTATTTTATCCAAACTTTTTCTAACCACAAAATATATAACACAATTACAAAATGCGTAACATTACGCCAAAAGGTAACTTCATTTTTTAACCACAAATTATCATAACTTCTATCAAAAAAATATGTAATATTTACCATAAAAATAAACATGTAACAATGTACATATAATACACACCCCATGGGATTTCCTCACTCAGTTATAACATTTGTGATATTTCATTTATTATGACTTGATTATGATTTAATTACACACATTGTGATGTCAGTTATGACTTATTGTGATGTTAGCCATGAGATTATTTTAGTTATAAATCAAAAAGGTCTTTGGTTATATCCTATGGTAATGAATAATTTTTTTATTATTTTAATTACGACCTGGACATGATTCGATTATGATATTTGTTATAATCAACTTCACAAATATTATAATTGGCATATAATACATTTATTTTAAAGTGTGTACCATAACATACCAGTTACAAAATGTGAATAACAAAGATAATTACAAATTTTTTCTTTTTACAGAGTAGTAATCTTTTCTAAATTGTCGTAATGGCTTATCGTGTTTCTTTTCGAGTTCCTGTGAGTCTTCTTTTTTTTTTTTTTGGCTTATCTCCCAAGTCCACGGTTGAGCCTTATGGACCACCAAGGAGCCTATCAAGTTGTTTTGATTTGAATTATTTATTTTGTTAGATTTTATGAGTAAATTATTTTTTAAAAAAAATTAATCCGATAATCCTACCTTATAATTTTATTATATTATATTTTAAAATGAATAATCTATTTTCAAAATTTTAGTTATGCATGTTATCATACTTTTTTAAAAAATTTAAAAAAAATAAATATAATAAAATTATATAGTTATTATTATCAAATCAATCTAATTCTTTTACGAACAATCTAAGGCATAGTTTGGGAAGTTGGTTTTGGTGGGTTAGGGGCTAAAATAGTCACAAAAAATAAAATAGGCTATTTTAGTTACAAAAAATAAAACATCAAATCCAACTCATAATCATTACACTCCTTTCTCACAAAAAAAAGTCAAAAAAGTCAAAAAGCCAAAAAGCTCTTCCCAAACTAGACTTTTTAACCCCAAGTTAAAATAGCTAAAAAGTCAAAAAACTAAAAAGTCAACCCACTTTCCAAACGGAAGCTAATAAACTCAATAAAATGAGTGATTCATATTATTAAAATGAAACTTGTATGGTAAGTCAAGATGTTGCCATGATTATTCATTTGAATTTATTAGTGTTCTTGGGGAAGGTTTTTCATAACCCCTCTACTTGGCTTCATGATCTACTTGTAGGGGATGAAAGTCCTGTCTAATTTGCTTTTGATTAAATAAAATTTTGTTCTACTCAGTATATTTTGTCAAAACGTCCTGACTAAAGACGAACGCCACTCAAATAAAAATATTAGAAAGTTACTTAGATTGTAATTGTATTAAAGAGATTGAACCGATATTGTGTATGAAAGAAATCTAGATTATTAATTAATAATTCTCAGTTTCAGGCAAAAATATCGGAGTCTGTAGTCTTTCCAGTTGAGTTTTTCAGTTCTTCTAGAAAACAGGAACATGGCCAATCGGGTGAGGTCTTGAGCCTTTTTTTCCACATATTTTTCCTTGATTTTGAGCGAAAGTTTGAAATTTTGACAAAACAGTTTGTCCATTTTGATGAATTTGCGATTATCAAAATGTGGAAATGGACTGATGGAGACTGTTATCTGCAACATACGAAAACTCATCCTTACAAATATGGAAAATGTTTGGAAGCTCATAAAGTAGGACCTCTACAACCCTCTACTGATTATTGATATTTTTAAATTTTTTTTTTTTATTTTTGACAGTGATATAAGTGATCTAGATCATTTTGAAGATTATAGAAATTATGTTTTGTAAGAGTCTGTGTCATTACTATATATATATAGAGGTCAATCTCTTGTTAAAGAATAATCTTCTTGCCATCCACGTAATATGTATATTACTTAAGTAATAAATAACCCAAAATATTAATATGTATGACTTAATAATTTATTAATATGTATGTTCATAAAGAAATCCAAAATTTTGGGTTCAAAACTTGCTTACGTTGTATATAAATTTTTTATTTTTATTTTAGCATATATAAAGATGCCACGTAGCATGAGGAGAAGAATGTTCTTAATGAAACCCAAGATATTGGGTTTAAAACTTGCGTACGCTGTGTATAATAATTTTTTATATTTTAACATATATAAAGTTGCCATGTGGCATGAGAAGAATGTTTGTGGCTGTTGTGCGGGGTGCACGGTAGCCACTGTTGTGCACGGTAGCCACTGTGTTTTTAGCCATGATGGTGCAGTGACACTTGCAAGTATTTACCGTGACACTTGTATCTACCGTGGCACCGATAGAAGTGGCACTTGTTCAAAATGCCACAAGACCAAAAAATGTCATTAGAAGAATAGTTTTGTGGCACTTTCAAATGTCACTAAACTAAGAAAATGTTGTAGTGCTTGTCATTCACATAATATGTATATTGCTTAAGTGATAAATAATCCAAAATATTAATATGTATGACTTAATGATTTATTAATATGTATGTTCTTAAAGAAACTCAAAATCTTGAGTTCAAAACTTGCTTACGTTGTATATAAATTTTTTATTTTTATTTTAGCATATATAAAGATGCCACGTAACATGAGGAGAAGAATGCTCTTAATGAAGCCCAAGATATTGGGTTTAAAACTTGCGTACGCTGTGTATAATAATTTTTTTATTTATTTTAGCATATATAAAGTTGCCAC